CTTTTAACTTGAATTTGGGATTTAATTATATCATGATACGGAATGGATACATTCTTTTAATTTGAATTTGGGGGATTTAATCATATCATGAAACAGAATGGATACATTCTTTTTACTTGAATTTGGGATTTAATTATATCATGATACGGAATGGATACATTCTTTTAACTGGAATTTGGGATTTAATTATATCATGATACGGAATGGATACATTCTTTTAACTGGAATTTGGGATTTAATCATATCATGAAACAGAATGGATACATTCTTTTCACTGGAATTTGGGATTTAATTTTATCATGATACGGAATGGATACATTCTTTTTATTTGAATTTTGGATTTAATTATATCATGATACGGAATGGATACATTCTTTTAAAAATAGAAAAAAAAAAAAAAAAGAAAAATGCATGGGTGATGGTTTTTAATGATTTTAAGAAAAATAGAAAAAAAAAAGAAAAAAATGCTTGGGGTTTAATTATATCGTGATGCAGAAATGGGTCCATTATTTTATCTTGAATTTGGGATTTAATTATATCATGATATGGAATGGATACATTCTTTTAACTTGAATTTGGGATTTAATTATATCATGATATGGAATGGATACATTCTTTTAATTTGAATTCGGGGGATTTAATCATATCATGAAACAGAATGGATACATTCTTTTAATTTGAATTTGGGGGATTTAATCATATCATGAAACAGAATGGATACATTCTTTTTACTTGAATTTGGGATTTAATTATATCATGATACGGAATGGATACATTCTTTTAACTGGAATTTTGGATTTAATTATATCATGATACGGAATGGATACATTCTTTTAACTGGAATTTGGGATTTAATCATATCATGAAACAGAATGGATACATTCTTTTTACTTGAATTTGGGATTTAATTATATCATGATACGGAATGGATACATTCTTTTAACTTGAATTTTGGATTTAATTATATCATGATACGGAATGGATACATTCTTTTAACTGGAATTTGGAGGATTTAATTATATCATGATACGGAATGGATACATTCTTTTAACTGGAATTTGGAGGATTTAATTATATCATGATACGGAATGGATACATTCTTTTAACTGGAATTTTGGATTTAATTATATCATGATACGGAATGGATACATTCTTTTAACTGGAATTAAATATAATTAAGAGTATACATTTTTATTTCTGAGGATTGTTTTGATATATGTAAGTGAACAGCAACCAACAACACATGCAAACAAAAAAACGTCAAAAGATTAGTTAATACATTTTAAATAAAGATAAATAATGTTAATACCTTTTGTCCTTCATTTGGAAATTTCAAGATAAAATAATATGGAAATTTATAAATGAAAAGGAATAATGATATATTCCCTTTAAATTTTAATAAAACCATAATTCATGTCTGATGTTAAAGATAAAGTTAAAAAATGGTGAAATAATTTTTCAAATTTTCAAATTTTAGATCAAATTGCCCTTAAAAATCAGACGTAGAACATATATGTATTAGCTATTCCTAAACCATTTTACAGATTTTTAAAGGAACTTTCTGAACAGAACATTTAAGATACCAATTTCGTAATGCAAGGTTTATCAGTATAATTTTGGGAATTTTCCAAAGTAAAGGATGTTAGTCTGAGAAAGATCTCCAACCCTTCCGGGATATATTATTCTGACTCAGAGTCAACTAGACTTTGCTCTTACTTTTAAATACTACTTGCTTAAGGGAGAAGCAGCAAATACCCCTTTTAAAGTCTTTGGTTTGTCCATACATGGGATAGAGCCCTTTACCTCCAGCACATCAGGCAAGCATAGGACCATTGAGGAGGTTATAATTGGTAGTGAAAAGTATTCTTTTTTAAAATATTCATATTCATTTTATTTTTGTTTATTTGAAAATGAACTGTTACTCATTCTGTTGTTAAATTCCTAGTAGTAACAGAAAACATAAATTTTTATATTTGGTTTAAAAATATTTAATTGAAAAGTATGTCTCCATGCAAAATTATCCATCCCTCTACAGGTTGTATCTTAATATAAAAAACATCTTATTCTTAAAGTATCAACACTAACCATTACTAACAATTGGTACTTAATTAAATAGGTTGGAAGGATGGAAGACAAGAGAGGGAGAGAAAGGAGAGGGGAGAGGGGAGGGGATAGGGGAGAGAGAATAATAGAGACTGATGGAGTGAGTTTACAGATAAGGGTTTAAGGTACTAGTCTTGTAGAGGGATAGGTTTTTAATATCTTCTTTTAGAAAGAGAACTTCTTGTTAACAATATGAATATGAGTAGGAATACAAACCAATTTTTATTTTTGGTATGCAAATCCAGTCTGAAAGTCTTTGTTTTAAAATAATGGGTCTATTACATTTCAAAATTATTTCCAAGTCTGTAAAATTTTTGAGACCCCAGTGGCCGATCCAGGGGTTGGGGTTGAAACCCCCCCCCCCCCCCTTTTTTTTAATGATAATGCATTTGAATGGGGACATATATTTAAAACCCGCACTTTCTCCTGGGTTGGATCCCCCTTTTTTTTAAAGATTGCTGGTTCCTCCCCTGAACCCTTTCTCCCTTCCTATTTGGTAAAGACATATAAGATTGTATCCATTGTACACGGATGCCCCATCCGCACTATCATTTTCTATGTTCAGTGGACTTTGAAAAATGGAGGAAAAAACTCTAATTTGGCATTAAAATTAGAAAGATGATATCATAGGGAAGTGTACAAAGTTTCAAGTTGATTGGACTTCATCAAAAACTACCTCATCCAAAAATTTTTACCTGAAGCAGGACGAACGAACGGAGGCACAGACCAGAAAACATAATGCCCATAAATGAGGCATAATAAATGTTTGCATTGGAAAACTCCCTTAATAATTTGTATAACAACAGCCAGTCTAGCCTGTCATAATTCAGTAACTACAAGCTATTTATCTATTCTGGAAAGATATGACTGTTTCAATGCCACTTGTAGTACTCCTGGCTATTACAAGGCTGCCAGTTTTTATTGGCGGAAGCCATATAAATGGCACCTGAAAAAACACCGACCTTCAGTGTCTTTTAATGTTGTCCAAAGTTTCTGTTGAAATGTTTGTACTGGTTTGAGGTATTGCTGATTAAAAGTGTAGATGTCTGAATAAACAAAAAACATCCTTTATCATGTTTTAGATTAAAAAGTAATTATATCCAAATTTCCAATTTAGTTTCAGCAGAAACGTTAAAGATAATTGTTGCAGAAGCCCTTTTTATTTAAAGGAAACAATATCAGATTTTAAATTTTGAATCTTCCAAAATAAATCTTTTCAGTTTTGTAAAGTGGTACATTGTGAAATTTATAATTAAAAAAACAAATCTTTTCTAATAATAAGGGACATAACTCTCCAATGGTAAAAAAATTCTAAACCCATCAATATAATGTAAATGCTTAAAGCAGCTTTCAGATTTGTTAGTTTGTAAATACAAAAATTAGCCTCCTCCTGGCCAAATGAAACTTAATTAACTTTGTAATAGAATTTTCCATGCCAAAAACACTTTTATTGGATAAAAAATATGAAGTAAAAACAGTGACCTTTATAATCTTAAGCTTTTTGGTACGAGAAAAAAAATTATCAAAGATACTTATTATTTGGCCACAACATTTAATAATTTTTTAGACACCTATTATCACAGAATATAATTTTTGCCATCTTATTTATATTGTTCAAGTGTGTTGTTGGCATGCTGTCTCATTGAAATATACCTCAGATCCTCTTTTATCTTATTCAAGATTTTCAGAAAAGCAATTTAAAAATCTGTTAAAAGGTTTATTCTCTAAATAAATAATAGAATAATTGGTCCAGTGATCAATGGAGAATGTAAATGAGATGTGGTAAAAATGCCAATGAGATGTGCTTAGAATGCCAATGAGATGTGTTAATACAACTAACGAGATGCGCTAAGAATGCAAATGAAATGTGGTAAAAATGCCAATGAGATGAAGCTAAAGATATGTTGTAATAATGCTAATGAGATGTGGTAATAAATCTAATGAGATGTGGTAATAAAGCTAATGAGATGTGGTTATAAAGCTGATGAGATGCGCTTAGAATGCCAATGAGATGTGTTAATACAACTAATGAGATGCGCTAAGAATGCAAATGAAATGTGGTAAAATGCCAATGAGATGTGGTTATAAAGCTAAAGATATGTTGTAATAATGCTAATGAGATGTGGTAATAAAGCTAATGAGATGTGGTAATAAAGCTAATGAGATGTGGTAATAAAGCCGATGAGATGCGCTAAGAATGCAAATGAGATGTGGCTATAAAGCTGATGAGATGTGCTAAGAATGCAAATGAGATGCGCTAAGAATGCAAATGAGATGTGGTTTTAAAGCTAAAGATATGTGGTAATAATGCTAATGAGATGTGATAATAAGGCTAATGAGATTTGGTTATGAAGCTGATGAGATGCGCTAAGAATGCAAATGAGATGTGGTAATAGAGCTAATGATATGTGCTAAGAAAGCTAATGAGATGTGGTAATAAAGCTAATGAGATGTGGTAGTAAAGCTAATGAGATGTGGTAATAATGCTAATGAGATGTGGTTATAAAGCTAAAGATATGTTGTAATAATGCTAATGAGATGTGACGAATAAAGCTAATGAGATGTGGTTATAAAGCTGATGAGATGCGCTAAGAATGCAAATGAGATGTGGTTATAAAGCTGATGAGATGCGCTAAGAATGCAAATGAGATGTGGTAATGGAGCTAATGAGATGCTCTAAGAATGCAAATTAGATGTGGTAATAGAGCTAATGATATGTGCTAAGAAAGCTAATGAGATGTGGTAATAAAGCTAATGAGATGTGGTAATAAAGCTAATGAGATGTGGTAATAATGCTAATGAGATGCGCTAAAAATACTAATGAGATGTGGTAATAATGCCAATGAGATGTGGTTAGAATTGCAATGAGATGTGGTTAGAATGCCGATGAGATTTAGTAAGAATGCCAATGAGAACTATCCACCAGAGATTGAGCCACAAGGCTGCAAAAACTATCTTTCTTTCATGTGAATTTTGTGTATACTTTGTATACTTTGTAAGCTCCCCTACAGCTGATAGTTAACATTTTCATCAAATTATGATTTAAATTATCCTTTCTTTAAATAAAATTATTTGGTAAATAAACTTTTTTAAATAATCATTGAAAAAGCTTCTAAATTTTCTGAAAAAATTACATTAAATAGGCACTTTTGAATTTAAAAAAAAAAAATATACCAGTAATGGCACAAGGATAGAAGATGTGTGGAATCAAATAGGTACCAACTATAGTGATAATGAAATATTCTAATAATAACCAGTTTTTTAATGTCTTGACTTAATGGACTTATTGTATGATGATATATGCGACCAGTTAGAAAAGTGGACAATGAAATATTCAAACATGGAACTGACTGAAGTTAATAGACTTAAAATTCAAAATTGAAACCAGCAAGTGAATTATTTACAACGGCCTTGGAACCAGCAAGTGAATTATTGACATTTATTTTGATGTGACCAGTATTCATGTGGATGGACAGTACTAGTGGACTATAAACTGATAAATCTCACAGAAAGGCACATCACAACTGAGTCTGAAGCTGTTACATACAAAAGACAAGGTAATTATACTAAAAAAAAACATGGCAACATTACTCTGATTACATGTTGCAAATAACCTTATAGCTCTTATTTTATTTTTGGTGTGTTAATTCACTGTATTTTCAGAAAAGCTATCAAGATAAATGCATAAAGCCAAAGGTCTTCATTAATATATTCTGATAAAGTGTACAACCAAATTTTTTTGCACCGGTAGTTTTTGCATTGGAGCAATAAAAAAAAAATTCATCCAGAAAATAGATTTAGTAATACAAACCCCACTACAATGATGGATATATACACTCCCATTTGAATGGTTTTACACTAGTTATTTTTTGGGGCCCTTTATAGCTTACTGTTCGGTGTGAGCCAAGGCTCCGTGTTGAAGACCGTACTGTGACCTATAATGGTTTACTTTTATAAATTTTGACTTGGATGGAGAGTTGTCTCATTGGCACTCATACCACATCTTCTTATATCTACTTACTTGCTCTGAATAGAAAATAAAGGATAAGCAGCTCTGACTCCACTGGTAGCGACTGTTGTGAAAAACTACTCATTACAAGTCAAAAATTGACTTGTAACATTAAAATCATGCATAACCTTAAAAGAAATAAAAATCTGAAACAGTACTTTTAAGTTTGCACAGCCCAGTAAAGTACTAAGTGGAAAATTGTCCTACTTTGACTTATAATTAAAATTCCATATAAGCATTTTTAAGGATGTACTTGGGTGATATAAGGTAAAAATTAATAAATCAAGCATTTAAAATTGATACTTTAAGCTGAAAGAGTATTAGTTAAGGATCAAAATAAACTAAAAATATTGATAGGTCATGCAGCTCCTTTTCGAGATATTTGATTTATAAAATATGGCAGGAAAAGGCTGGCTCAGACTTTTACCTTATATTAATGCATTGGTATAATTTGGGTCTCAAATCAAAAGGAAAAAAAATCAAGAATCTGCTTAAATTTTGTTAAATGACCTTTTATGAGCTATTATAAGTCTTATATGAAAAAAAAAAGGGTGTTATGGGGCAAAATATTTTACCTTGTATCGTATCGAAAAACACCAATGAGTCCGAACATTTAACACAAATTCCAAAACCTCACCTAAGTACATCCTTAAGGATATGACTGTACATGATTTTTTCTTCTTCAGATATCCAGGAAATAAGAATTGTATGTGATCTATTTAAAGATCTTAGGACAGTAGGACCTGGAAGTACTGTATTACCAACTTCAAGGTAAGTTTACAGTAAAAACAAAATGGTTATGAAATATTGCTCCTGCAATTATATAATGGAAACTTGATTATCATCATACCTTTTTTATCCATAATACTGTTAATATAAAAAAAGAGAGAAGATGTGGTATGATTGCAAATGAGACAACTCTCCACAAGAGACCAAAATGACACAGAAATTAACAACTATAGGTCACCGTACAGCCTTCAACAATGAGCAAAGCCCTGAGCCACACAGTCTTGACCAAATATTTGAAAGTTTGAAATTTTGATAAGAAACATTGATACTAGCAAGATTAAATACTCTTGTTTCTCAGTTATATGTTATGTTTAATGCTTATAAATGTGATGCAAAAATTATAATGGCATGGTAACTTTCCTTTAAGGTGGTATGGGAGAGTCTAAATTAAAAATGATAGAATTTGTTCATACTTTGCCAAAGCATAGTAAATATCAAAATATGTTCAAAAATATTATAAAAACGTATGGTCACAGCACATTTGTTCAAGCTACAGGTTGTTACAAAATGACATATTGTGTATGGATTATACAGGAAAAAACATCATTATGTGATTAGAATCTAAACTAAATGATAGAATTGTAAAATAGAATACGAAAAGTTAGCTTTTAGAAAATGCTTTGAAAATATCAAAAGAAAAGATAGGGTCACAGTGCGTTTCATCTGGCTAAAATTCAAAATAGCAAAATTCCAAGTAGATTCCTTCAGAAAATGCACTATTTCAGAGTTACTTCACTTAAAATGCCAATTTGAAATTATTAAAATTCAAGCAGAAATAATCTTGTAAAAATATTAATATTTATGAGTTATAATCTTATAAATTTGTTCTTTGAAATGCAAATTCACATAAGTTATCTACATTTCTGCATCTAATTTTGCTAACTTGATTGAAAATCTGGACCTTAGATTCTCTGATTTTTACAATCCAAGATGGCGAAAGACAACCATACCACCTTAAGCATGTTCAAAATATGCATGATATATTGATCACTGGACATTAAGCATGCAACAATCAATCAATCAATCCTATATGTATATATGGTATGAATCACTTCTGACATCAAGAATTAAAAATGTTATTTTGTCAATTTAATTGCCATGTTTTAATTGACATTTTGTTGTTTCTTTGTAGATTAACTGAGCTTGAGAAATTACAAATCAACTGATACAGAAGAAGAGACTTTGTGGATGAACTTGGAAACAATTATTGACAAACAATATAGTGTATTAGTATTCTTGTACAATTCAATAGAGAGAGAGAGAGAGAGAGGAAGGATAGGAGAGAGTCAGTTGTAAAGATTTATGTCTTTTTAACCAGACATGTCGATTACATTAGAATTTCAGAGGCCTACAGTTCTCCCTTAAATGGTCATAGTTAATACATGAAGTAGTTAAAGTAGAGGACTTTAGTGTGACCAGTGAAAACAATCAGGCAGCTGCCATTGGTTTAAATCTCTTTTTTCGAAGATGTTTTGGTTACATTAGAATAAATCTGTGAGGAATGACAAAAAAAATGCAAAATAAATAATTTGTGGTATTTTGTACAGTTTCATTATGCAATCTTGAATACATTTATGATTACTATTTATAAAGAAGTATTATCATTAGAATGAGGATGGAAAATGTTTAAACATTTATTTGAGACAGAGTTTTGCATTATTTCATTAAAATTATTAAATTCTTTTTGTGTGAATGAAGGACAAACAGGGAAAACAGAAGCTATTCTATGAATTTCAAATTGTATTTATTTACATTTGATTGATTAGTTGAAGATTAACTACACGTATTCAGCATAGTACAAAATTAAGGATGCACTGCAAGTGTATATTATCTTTATAGTTATCATCACACTATGTCCAATCTAGATGTACAACACTCTTTTTTATAGTGTTCTGTAAATTATCAGGAACACCAGTTGTGATGAATGGGAAGACTGGCAGGCTGAGAAATGGGTATAAGGGGAGGGAATACCCCTGCTTATCTTTTCATACTGGTTAGTTCCTTTGGTAAAGGTTTTGTACAAATGTTGTTCATATCAGATGTATACTATTTGAAGAGAGTTGTTATTTGGAGCTCTAAAAAAAAAAAAGAAAAAGAAAAAGAAAAAAAAGAAGAGAAAAAAAAGAATAGAGTTCTAGATAATAACTGGGTGGTATAAAATGTGGGTTAAATATTTTTTTTTTTATTTATGCATCTGATATTTTTTGTGTATAAAATGTTTTGTTATTTTTTACAGAATTGCTTTAGTCGCCTTCCTGACTAACATTTATTGGTGAATGGAGAGACTAGCAGGCTGAGATTGAGGCGTAAGGGGAGGGATTACCCCTGCTTTTCTCTTCATACTTGTAAATTCTGTCACTGCACGGAAGGTCAACAATTAAGAATATATAAGTTATCATTTTTTTATGTATCAATGTAAGTTAGATAAGTTATGTCAGATGTATATAAAGTAAGATAAAAGTATTCTTTAGAGCTCTGTAAAAAAAAAAGCTTGTAAACAGAGGTCTAGATAATGCATTAAGGGGTTTGGTTTGGCATGGGGATTTCAAATTTTATTTACGAGTCATCATCTACAAAAATGCATCTGATATTATTTGCCCCAAGCCCAATTTCGTGTCCCAAATATAATGACTACAGAATAATGGTGACAGCTTGGTCAACACCCTTATTTTAAGTTTGATTCACCCCTCCTTTCGTCGCCCACCCCACCCCACCCCCACCCCCACCCTTTTAATAAGTAGTTATAGGTTAAGGTTTCTTATTGGGATTAATGATTGATTGATTGATTTAAATTAAGTGTCACAGAATTATTAAGATACTAATTTCTGTGTAACAAGATTAATCTCCAATATTTGAAGGTGTTTTTGATCAAGTTTTATTAAACTCAAAATGTTTAGTATTTCATCAGCTCTGTCGAATACAAAATAGAAATTTACCTCTATAGATATATCTGCATTTTATATGCTACGAAATTTTGCCTGTTTTACAAAGATTTATCTAACAAAATGAAAAACCCTGTCCATGAAATTGATTTAATTGAACTTTCACACTGTTGATAATAACCCTGTTTGTTCATGACAATTTTACATGTGGTAGTCTCGATGTAATATATAGTTCTTCCACTAACAACCCTGTTTGTTCATGACAATTGTACTCTTGAAATATCTGTTACAATTACACAATGCACCCATGCTTTTTCCCTATAGGGTTTTTTAATGCAGGGTGCATGTTTTTCTATGTTACCATATGTTTGTCTCTCTTTTTAATAAAGAACAATTACATAGAAATGTTTCTGTTTGTTGAAAAATTGAAAGGTCCTTATTTAGTTCCTCTTCAAAGGTATGAGTTTGTTACAAATATGTTGACCCTAGCATAATTCATCAATTTTGATGACCGACTATGTCCTTGAGGCTAGGTCAGACATAAAAACTGGTATTTGCAGCTTCAATGCCAAGGACACAATCCATTTAGAAGAAGTACTTGTCTGTCATATTTGTTTTTCATAAATTATTTGGTTATAAATTAGTCTAATTCTTGTTTGAATCATCTCCCCTTGTTTTGTCCTAGGGATTATATAGAAAACTTCCTGGTATACAGTATTGATTTTGCTCATTGTTGAAGGCTGTACAGCAACATTTAGCTGCTTATAATTAGCCTCATTTGAACTTTGGAGCACCTATAGACTAGTTGTCTCATCAGCAATCATACCACATCTTATTTTATAGACTGGTTGGCTGGAGTCTGAATATTAATTAAGGGTATGTTGATCTAGTTTGAGGTTAAAATGTCGAAAGCCACATATCAAAAATGGAAGTGAAAGGTTTTTTGGGGAACTTCAAGGAATTATGCTGCAATTTAATCTGTATTTGGATTCATTGGCTAGTGGTAGTACGTTAGAGAACCACAACCTTCGACAGGAAAACTGACAATTATAGTCCATTAAGATGAGTCAAGTGCACTTGCCACATGCAGGGTTCGAACTTACAACCTCTGTGTTGAAAGGCTAGTGATACAGTAGTTTTAACTACTCCGACAACAACGCCACCAAGGCCTCACCTAAATTTGGATATATGTTATTTAATGAGAAAGATCCTATCAAATATGATGTCTTAAGTTCAAGGTCACATATATGAAAACAAACTAAAAGCAGTGCAGAAGCAGTGTTTTCGCACATAGAACCTTGCTAGGAAGTAAACTTATATATGGTAAATCAATACATGGAAGACCTCAAATAATTTGTTAGTCCACATATAAAGGGTAATTCATTTCAGGACGGTATCTTTGGAACATTTCACAACAATTGAGACTATTTTTGTGGTATGATTTCAACAATAGTTTACGTATTATATAAAATGCTATTCTGAATTATTCCATATGTCAAAAAAAAAAACATGAATGATTCCCAATTATTGGAGAGCCAACACATGAAACATCTATGCTTAGATTACATGTATAAGTTTGCTAATAAGTCAATTCAAGGAGAACCACAATTGGTAGGTCAGTGGTATTTGATATGCAGTTGTATTAGCATTGGCACATATCAAGTTCATCAAGATTATTTGGCCCTGCCCCTTCAGTCATGGTCTATTGACTTAGAAACTTTAGCTGAATTTACATGTTTTGTGATTGTCTGCATGGTGATCCATCTCATTTCCATGGCTTTTTTTGGCCCAGCCCCCTCAGTCCTTTAAATTGCATAGTTAACATTTTGAAGTTGTGATTAGATCAGTTTATGATTACTGTAAATTCAGAAACTATTCTGTGCATTTATTATTGAGACTTTGTCAGTTTAGACTTAAATGCGATTTCAATTTTTACGATTTTGAGAAAAATCCTGTTTATTTCATATAAAATATTTCAAAATGCGAGATTAAATTATTGGACTAACAACTTTTTCGCAATAATAAAAACCTCGCAATAATTTCTGACTTTACAGTAACCAACAACACTAAGTCAATGATATTTAGTATGCAATTGTAATAGCATTCCCTTTTATATGGCCCTGCCACCCATAGTTTATTGACTTGGAAACTTTTGCATTGTTTAGATGTTAAAGTTTGTGTTTGTCAGTTTAAAGGGAACTTACATATGAGAAGTCAATGGTATTTGGTATGCAGTTGTATTGGCATTTACAATTTTCAAAGAGGTTATTCAGCCCTGCACCTTCAGTCATGTAAAAAAAAGAAGATGTGGTATGATTGCCAATGAGACAACTCTCCACAAGAGACCAAAGGACACAGAAAATAACAGTTATAGGTCACTGTACAGCCTTCAACAATGAGCAAAGCCCATACCGCATAGTCAGCTATAAAAGGCCCTGAAAATGACAAATGTAAAACAATTCAAACAAGAAAACTAATGGCCTAATTTATGTACAAAAAATGAATGAAAGACAAATATGTAACACATCAACAAATGACAACCACTGAATTACAGGCTCCTGACTTGGGGCGCATACATACAGAATATGGCAAAGTCAAACATGTTAGAGGGATCTTTTGCTTTTTCAGTATTTTACTAATAGATTAACTTAGTTTTTTGCAGTGAATATTTACACAGTATCAGTCTAAAATTATTTATTTTTTTATTAAAACTCCTTATTTTTGCTCTAAAATCTGAACATTTTTAAATGTGATGATAATTTGATGAAGGCATATGTTATAAAGTCTAATTGTTTCTGTTAAAGAAGATTTTAATCGATTGCATCATAACTGGTGTAGTTGTGATGTCGATAATGTAGGGAAGTTCATTATAAACTGATTTTTGGCATAATTTTGCAAAATTTATGACCGCATTTTGAAAAAAATTAACAGTGGCCACCTACATCAACAAATACTTATGTTAGAATATTCCTCATTTACCAAATTTTTTAGTTTTCACCATAATTTCAATAGGCGAGGGGTGGTGCCACATATAAAATCTTAAAACATGGTTTAAAAAGGTTGCAAATCTCTTGAAAAAAATATGATTTGGTGAATCAACTCATTTGTCTATCTGTTGAGATGAAGAAACCATATTATGAGTTCATTACTTTGAAGTTAATGTAGTCTGAAATTTGCCAAAAAAATTTGGACATGATTATTTAACTGGAAAATTACATTGAGCTGAATGCAGACCTGACTGAATTGTTATATTAATTTAACTCCCACTAGATAATATTCTTTGCACAGAAATAGATTTTTAATTGGGAAATGGACTTTTAAATGTTATTGTCTACCAAGTTTGAAGCAAGATGAAGGGAAGTCCTAATGAACTACTGATATGATATACATACCATTATCTTAGTCTGTCCATATCAATGATTTTGCCATATCCAAGGATTTGTATAGTAAGAAGGTTCTTTTACTATACAAATCCTTGCTATATCTATCTGCAAATGTGCACCCCACAAGTCACTGTTTTATGCAATTAATTTATTGGGTATCATAGCATAATATACAGAATGGCATTCTTAATTGCCACCAATTGTTTGTGGGAAGAATTTGTAAAATAACTTGTTACAATGTTTGCCGAAATCTACCATAATCCTTAAAACTTTTAAAACAAATAAAAACAATAGAATAAATTAAAGAATAACACACCTTTTCCTGTGAAGAAATGTGTTTACATTAGAACAAAATATTGGGGCCAAAATGGAATCATTAATAGAATCTGTGATAAAAAAACTCTAGAAAAGAATAGTATACAGACTAAGGTTCTTAGCGTGAGAAAAGACTTTTAAACAGTATAATTCAAATTCTAAAACAGGCATATAAATCATAACAAAGAGAGACATATGATATACTACTTTCATCCATCCATTCTCACAACTGTCATTCTGATTGGGAATGATTCATCAGGAAACCAATATAATCATAAGTCAGTTGACCTGTTATGTACAAAGAGGGATAACTCGAACATTTTTTTTAAAACATTTTAACACCACAGAGCATATAAACAGAACACATTAATTTATATAATGTATCTAATTGTTATTAGTAAAGGCTTGGGTAAAGATTTTTTTTATATATTTTACAGACTACTGCTTACATAGCGACAGACGAATATATGTAGCTGTTACTTCCATTTTAATTTGGGTATTTTTTCCAAACAAAAGGGTAACCTATTCTACAACTGAGAACAAATTGACTTAACTGGTAATACTTCTAACAGTCAGATATATATACAAACAAAGGAAGAAAGATAAGTTACCGATCATGATGCCAGTGGTGTCACCTTTGGTCTGATATTGGCGAATT